TCTAAGTGACAGAGCAAGACCCTGTCTTTAAAAAAAAAGGAAAAAAAATTTTTAAGAAAGCCAAACCTAGGGTGAAGTAACAAGCGTAACAGTCTACCATTGTGGGGAGAGGAAAGAGCATGAGAGAAAGCCTCTTTTGCATTTGGGGGAGATGAAAACTGAAGGAAGAGTACTAACCCTGAGAAGAACTCCTTAATACCCTATCTCCTACCATTAGCACAAGGCAATGTCTTTCCACTTCTAGAGGAATTTAAAGTCTTTGGTACGTTGAAGATATCCATAGCAACTATAAAATCTAACTCTGGTTGAATTGAAGAAACTGATTCAACATCCTGCACTAATGGCCTGATGGAAGAAGAGGCATTTCTGTGCGCAGACATCACTGTTTACCTCAGTCTCTGCTGTTCTACATGATGTCTGGTAATCAATCAGAAAATGATGAGACACATAAATAAGCAAGAAAATACAAGCCAAGAAGGTTAGAGAACCCCAAGCAGGATAAATAAAAAAAGAAAAGGGAAGAAGGTTCTGAGATTTTACTGAGTTTCATGTATTCTGACAGACCAGACAAGACTCTTGGGCCACAGACAAAAAGACTTTATTACTAAATAAAGCAGCAGGTAGCATGAGTTTTATGTTCACGTTGGTTTCTCTTACCTACCCATGTACCTCTTACATTACGATAGGGACAATGTGGAGATGAAACTGAGAGGATGCTGTACCCACAGTGACTTTGTGTCAGAGCTGAGGAACCCCAGTCTTAGGAAAGCCCTGTGTTTGTTTGCCTTGCAGACGTCCTTGAAAAGATAGTCTGGAAGAAAAGCTATCAATGTCTTTTCTCATAAGATATACAAAAACATGAGAGACCTGTGGAGAATTGTCTCCCAACAATTTCTGTCCCTTGTTTCCTCATTGTCTTTGGCTTCTGGCAGATTTTCTCATGAGTGTACATACCACTGAGTTGGCCACTCTGATTAATCTGACCAAACAGGACTGAGACTGGGTCAGTTTGATTTATTTCATGTAACATTTAATTAAGGCAAAGCAACAGGATGCCAGGCAGCAGGTTAGTCTCAGCCTGCAGTGTTCCCAGCTATGCTGTCCAGAGTTCCAGCTAAACAAATCCCATAAACCATCAGTGCCTCCCTTGGAAAGCTAGGTGGCCTTCTCTAATTTTATATCAACTTTTCCACCTGGTCTGAGGTGTTAATCCAGGTGCAGCAAGTTTTATTAGTGATTGCATATACTCTACTTTGCCCTGCAAAAAGGAAATCTAGGACAATTCTATAATAACCCTGGCCAATGAGTTAACACAGACCTGAATGCCTTCCAGGGCTGAGGAGATGTTTTCTTAAGCACTTGATGGTCTGTCTCTTCATGTATGCTACTGTGTTTTTGGAGGGAGGCAAGTTAATGCTTGGCTCCCACACAAGGAGTAGAATTTCAAGGGTGCATGTGGTATGTGTGGAAAGAAAATGTTTACAGTTGTTAGGGCCCCCCCAAGTGGTACCTATATCAGAAGATGTGGCCGGGTTGGCTGGTAGGCCTTAGGGTTCCCAGTGGAATTTGAATAATTTAGTTTAGTCCTTGTTTTTGGAGGGATTGCCTGAGGGCAGTTAGTCCAATCTGTTATGTTTGCATATACCACCAGCTGGGTGGAGTTCATCCATTACTGAGATGGGGGTAGGGAAGACATCTGGAGGTGATGTGCCTGTGGAGGTACAGTTACTGGGGCCATCCTGATGTTCCTGATAGATTCTTGGTACGGCTCCTAGCGGGGGATGGCAGACTCAGCAGTCATTCACATTTAAGGTGCTTCCAGCAGTTTAGGAGAGCCACACCAAGGCACTTTTCTTGGAGAGTGAGGCTACAAGGGCAAATTCTTAAAGAGAAAGTTCATTAATGTCTTTTCTTAATACCATACCTCCTGGGGTCTAACATGTTTCTTCCTCAGGTGCTTGCTTGTTGCTTTCTACCTCCACAAAATCTGAGTGGTTTCATTTCTATAACTTTTCACCATTTCCTAATTATCTAGAGAGTTAGATGTAAGAGGGATAAGGACAGTTTTGTAAACCCTAACCAGAGTTAACTTTGAATCCCCTAGATGCCCTTTTAGCTGAGCTGCCCACCTAGGGGATTTACGAACCAAGCCTGCCTGCAGTTGCTGTTAGGGGAAAACATGCATCATGTCCAGGAATAGCCCCAGGGTAGAATCCTGAATTTTCACAATAGGTCTATATATGCCCAATAATCTCCTAATTATTAGCCAAGAAGCAGCTAAGAAGCAATGATCCCTTTCTGGGGACAGCCACAATCAGTGACCAAACAATCTTTAAGGTATGTGGAGCAGGTGGAGGTGATGGAAGTAGAATCAGACTATTGGTGCATTGTTGAGCAGCTTTTATGATAAAAGGTATATTTTTATCAGAAAGCTGAAAACATGACAGAGTAGTCTCAAAGGCCACAACAGTGTGGACATTGTATACTGATTGGCAACCTAAAAAAGTATCAATAAGGGAATGCTGTAATGAGGGAGACTCAGCTTATATGAGGGCAGAGAGTATAGGGGAAATCTCTGTGCCTTCTCAGTTTTGCTGTGAACCTAAAACTGCTCTAAAAACAAAGTCTAGTTTAAAAACAAACAAAAGTGTCATTAGTTTGAGGCACCACTAAATGACTGAGAGAAGGATCAAAGATCTGATTGAGTCAATCTGCCAAGACTCAAAGGGAGCCATGCGTGTGCTGTGCAGTGAGACCTCCTGCACCCCCCTGCCACACACAAACACACACACACGAGTCACAAGTTTGGCATCTGCCTCAGAAACACAGTCCACCTTTTTTCAGTCTAAATCAAAGAATGGGCCTTTACTGTGGGTATCTGCATACATGACCCAGACAATTCAATTAGCAGTTGAAGTTTGTTTTCAATGCTGCCCCAAAGAGGGTGTGTTTAATCTGTCAGTCCAAGTGGCAAACCAAACAACTGGATCATTGGCAGTAGCCCAAGAATCTGAGTTCTGCCCACTGAATGCAACGACCGTTTCTCCTTTCAGTTCAGCATAACAGCTCAGTGGACACCATTGACCTTCAGCTTCTCTGACCCGAAGGTGTCATTGATCCAGTAGTTTTGCTTCAGACAGTGGAGTGGGAATAAAGTTTCCCCTCAGAGGGATAGCTCCCACTTTTTTTATTTAAAGCCAAGATCCTGGTGGGGCCAGGCTCTCTGTGTTCTTGAATATACCATTTCTATTTGACAAGCAAGGCTTTTCAGGTTCTTCCCACCTTGTTAGTTGTGGAATTCAAGTTGATCCAGCTCAAAGTGGGACTTTCAGGCCCGATAGTCAATAGGCCTCCATGGGTCAAGCATTCAGACCCCAAAGGGTGTCTCCATGTGGAGGCTACTTCTTTTTACTGGAAGCTCCTATTGGCAGAATCATCAGTCGCAGATCTTTGTATTGTCTTCAGTACTCAGTGTCCATTTCTATTGGGGTTTACCAGCCACCACTGCTGGTGGAGGTATTTAATTTAGCTAGTAATAGTATACCAATGTTAATTTCTTTGTTTTGACAAATGTTCCACAGTTATGTAAATTGTTAACATAGTAGAAATTGGGTAAAGGATGTACAGGAACCCTGTACTATCTTTGTACTTTTCTGGAAATCTAAAATTATTCCAAATTAAAAGCTTATTTTAAAAAGTACTAGATGTCTGTCTATAACTTCTGGGATAAAGATCAGACTCTTGAGGATGGTATTTAAGACCCTTTACAGTTTATTCTACCTGCTTGTTTCTTGCCACTTTCTCACACTCACATGGTACTGTAGCTGTTAGACTGCTCAGTGCACTTACAGTGCTTTGCACATGCCTTGACTTCTCGTGTTGTGTCCTTTTTGTGTGGAGTGTTCTTATCCTACCTCTTCACATGGCAAAATTCAAGCTAAGCTTCAAGGTTCTGCCTCATTCTTGCCTTTCCTGCTATCTCATCGTTGGTGCTCAGACTTAGCACAGCTTTTTTGGTATGTATTTCTGCTTAGGATTCTTCACAGGTTAACACTGTAAATGCTAATAGTTGTTTTCTAGAGTATGAATTCCTTGAAGATGGGAATATTTTTTCCACCTTTTTATTGCTAGTATTTACCTTGTTTCCCATTTCCAGCAAGTGCTATACAGTAATTGTTCAATAGACGTTAATTGAGTGAGTGAGTGAAAAGCCTTAGGTCTGTGCTGTATATGGTTATGATAGAGCTCTACTCTTTGTGTCACTCAGATATTAAATACTGTGGCCAGGTGTCGTGGCTCCCACCTGTAATCCTGGCACTTTGGGAGGCGGAGGTGCAAGGATTGCTTAACGCCAGGAGTTGGAGATCAACCTGAGCAACATAACCAGACCCCATCTCTACAAAAATTAGCTGGCATGGTGATATGTGCCTATAGTCCCAGCCACTCAAGAGGCTGAGGCAGGAGGATCACTTGAGCCCAGGAGTTTGAGGTTGCAGTGAGCTATGAGGACACCACTGCACTCTAGCCCGGGCAACAGAGTGAGAGCCTATCCTAAAAAAAAAAAAAAAAAAAGAGGCCGGGCGCGGTGGCACACGCCTGTAATCCTAGCACTCTGGGAGGCCGAGGCGGGTGGATCGCTCAAGGTTAGGAGTTCGAGACCAGCCTGAGCAAGAGTGAGACCCCGTCTCTACCAAAAAAAAAAAAAAAATTATCTGGACAACTAAAAAAATATATATATATAGAAAAAATTAGCCGGACATGGTGGCACATGCCGGTAGTCCCAGCTACTCGGGAGGCTGAGGCAGGAGGATCGCTTGAGCTCAGGAGTTTGAGGTTGCTGTGAGCTAGGCTGACGCCACGGCACTCTAGCCAGGGCAACAGAGCCAGATTCTGTCTCAAAAAAAAAAAAAAAAAAAGATATTAAATACTATCTTAAATGGACACTTGTGATTCATATTTACACTTCATAGTTGTATTTTGAGTGTTTTCATGTATACACTATGATTTCTTTGTCTTCCACTTATGTTTTAGGAGGGCCAAACATGTGGGCCATTACCTCTGAAGAACGTACTAAGCATGACAAGCAGTTTGATAACCTCAAACCTTCAGGAGGTTACATAACAGGTTTGTGTTTATAATTTGTTTTATTTGTGAATTATCCTTTTCATCTAATATCTTAGAATTGGCTTTAATTTGACTACCATCAAATTTGTATTAAGTGGTAAAATTCATATCAATCAGAATTCTAGAATTAAAAACTGACTTATTTTTCTTGGAACTATCTTACTTTTTTGTTTTGAATTTGGCATATGGAAGATTTTTCCTAAATCCGAGATAGTCAAGGATTTCTATTGTCTAATTTACATTTTAACATTATATCTAGAAAAATTTCAACTTATTCTTATATGAGACCCTATGAGACCCATTTCTTGTGAAAGAATCTAGAATTTTTTTTTTCTGGTATCTGTTTTCATAATGTTAGCCCTCTGTCTTCGAGGCTATAACAAGCACTGATTGTTGATGCTAGCCCTTGTTTTGCAGGAAGACCAACAAAGTCAAAGGGGATTCATTTAGATGTTTCTTTCAATTTTTTTTTGAGACAGGGTCCAGCTCTGTTGCCCTGGGTAGAGTGCAGTGGGATCATCATAAGCTCACTGCAACCTCAAACTCCTGGGCTCAAGCGATCCTCCTGCCTCAGCCTTCCAAGTAGCTGGGACCGCAGGCACATGCCACCATGTCTGGCTAATTTTTTCTATTTTTGGTAGAGATGGGGTTTTGCTCTTGCTCAGCCTGGGCTCAAACTCCTGACCTCAAGGGATCCTCCTGCATTGGCTTCCCAGAGTGCTAGGATTATGGGAATGAGCCTCTGCGCCCAGCCCCTCAAATTTTTTTCTGTAAGCGAAATTTTTTTCCTGTGCCAAAGCACCTTAGGAGTTTATATACAGTGATGATAACTGTAATAACAGTTATAATATTTATCAAATTTTTGCTATATGCTAGATACTGTGCTAAGTGCATTATCTCATTCAACTATCATAGCAACCCTATGAAGTAGGTACTATTGTTATCTATATTTACAGATGGTGAAACTGAGACTAAAACATGTTGTGTAACTGCCTAAGGTTACAAATTGTTGACTTGGGCTTTGAGACCATTCAGCCTGACTTTGAAATCCATTCACTTAATCATTATAGTTTAATGTTATTTGTACTTGTATCATAATAACTACCTTACCTGGTATCAGGATTTTATTACCCTACTTACAAGTTAATAAGTGTTTATGGTTGCTGGTGGAAGACCCATGATTCCTGAGTCAAAGACAGAGGACTTTATTACTGATAGACATGAGCGTTAGCATCTTTTTGTCAACTTCTTTTATTCCCTAAGCAGTTTGATAACCTCAAACCTTCCGCAGGGCTGATGCAGAGAGCCCAGAGGATGCTACATATGCTGTGATTGTTACAAGAGAGGTACACTGAACTTGGGGAACCCATTATTTCGTAGCAAACAGTAAAGCAAATTTTTTTTGTCTTTCGTCTCAGTGGGAGACATTACCTCATTCCTCAAGATTACTCACTGCAAACCCAGGCAGAGAGCAGTTAGGGTCTTGCATTCTTGGCATGCACAGCAGGTCATGCAGGTGTATGAGGAAGCTCATGGAAGACTGTCTTTCCTAACACCTAGTACTTTTTATACAGAACTCGTTTAGGGAATATTTTTTTTAGCTGTACATTTTACTAAATAGAAATATTATCACATAAGGCCCCAGTTGTGGATAAACTAAGATGAATAATGTGATTTTTCATCACTTTTTTTTCCTCCTCCCACCCCTGATTTTTCATCACTGATCAATGTATAAAAGAACTTCAGATGTGACTTGTTTTAAAATACCTAAGTCTTATTAAAGTAATGTAAATAATT